GGCCGTCGGTCCGTCCGTCCCGTCCCGTCGCCGGCATGAGCTCCACGCAGTTCAACAAGGGGCCCTCCTATGGGCTTTCGGCCGAGGTCAAGAACCGGGTGAGTGAGGGGCGCCCCAGTCCTACCCCCGCCCCCGGAGGCCTCGCGCCCTCGGACTTCTGCAGGGCTGCGCGCCCCGCCGGGCTCCCCGAAATCTGGGGACGCAGTGGCTCTGGGACCTGGGGCGAGAGTGGCCCTCCTCCCCAGCATCTGGGGTACTGGGGGCGCCCCCCGAGGCTCCCTCAACTCTGGGGAAGCAGTGAGGTCGGCGGTCTGGCACCACCCCCAGCGTCTAGGGATGGGTGGGTCTGACCGCTCCCCGGCGGTGCTCCCCAGCCCGTCCCCAGCCTGAACCCCACAGCCCTGGGCCCCTGTAGGGCTTCAAGACCTGAGGGTCTGAGGACCCCAGCAGCCCCTTCCTCAACCCCCCCACCCACACTTCTGCTTTTGGGGCCGCTTAAGCTGCTGGAGGGGAAGGGGGCGGGGCCGGGTTTTTTTTTTTTCAGAAGGGTGTCCGGCGCCCCCACAGGAATTTACCGACCTCTTACACCTGCGGGGGTGGGGGGAGGCACCAGGGGGAAGTCGGAGCGCAGGGGGTCCGCCCGGGCTGTTCCCCTGTGGGTCCTTTGTCTCCATCTAACAAAGTTAAAGGGACAGCGAAGGGGTCCACAGGAACCCTAAAGTGTGTGGGTTTTGTAATTTGGAAACAGGTGGGGCCAGCGGGAGACACTTTTTAAGAAAGGTTCAGAGAGGGGCGGACACTTTCAGAGTGTCACACAACAGGGCCCACCTGGGAGAGGCCGAGTAAGAAGTCATCCCAGACCCAGGCGTCCCAGGCCTGACGGCCAAGGGCCCTTCCAGCTGGAGGGGGGTTTGCCATCCCTGTGCACCCCCACATCCTCCCACCAGGCGTCTGGGAATGTGGCCCCGGAAAGGAGCCTGCCAGCCCCAGACAGGCACCTGCGGGGGGCACCCCAGGGCCTGAGGACAGGAGGGGGAAGTCCGCATCCTCCGTGGGCTCCTGGGAGCCTCCGCCTGCGCCTTGGACAAGAGGACATTTCAGGCGTGGGGAGCCAAGGGACCCAGTATGGTCACTCAGCAGGCTCCACACCCCCTTCAACGCACGAGTCCCCTCCAGCAGTAACCCCGCCGCCCGTGCAGACGGGCGCCCCCGCCCGGCGCCAGGGCCGCTCAGGGGCCCCCGTTTGCACGCGGGGCTCAGAGGCGTCACCGGAGCTTCCCGGGACCACGCAGCTTGTGAGTGGCGGAGTCAGGACTGGACCCCTGACCTGCTGCGTCCAGCGGCTATCGGCCTCTGGTCTGCTGCACCCCATACCTCCCCCAAGGAAGCAGGAAGTGGTGCGGGTGGGGCAGCTTCCGGAGATGGAGTTCGGAGGGGGCAGGTTGATACCTGTGCGCCCCGTGGGGTGGGGGAGGTGAGGTCAGAAAGCCGAGTTCTTCACTGGTCTGGAGGGTGGGCGGGGCCCCCACCAGCTTGCCGGGGGTCACTTGGGCCACACCCGGATTCGAAACCAAATTCCTATGGCTTTGAGCCTATGCCGTGTCCAGTTCACCAGCTGCTTAGGACGGGGGTGGGGGTTGCTCTATCCGGCGCCCGTGCCTCAGTTTACCCCCAGCTGGATGGCAGGAGGCAGGCTGACGTCCAGTGTGTCCCCCTGAGCAGCCATGGCCACTGGATTCCTGGCCAGGCCTGGGCTTTAGACCACTGGAAACAGCTGTTCCCGATTTAGCAGATTTCGCGGGAGGCAGCGGCTGCATTCCTGGCAGTCTGCGGTAGGAAGAACGTGCCGCTGGGCAGTGGGGGAGGAAGGGGCCGCGGCGCAGGGAGGGCCAGGCGCCTCTGCCCGGGGCCTCGGCCCCGCCGGCCCCCACTCGGCCCCTGCGAGCCGTCAAGGACGGAGTCCGGCTGGACAGGCGTGCCAGGCATCCAGACCAGCCGGCGTGCCTCAGGCTCAGCCACCGGGACGTGACTCCGTCATTCCTCAGGCTAGACAAAGCTTCGTCTGGGCAGGGCCGCTCCCCGGCCGTGGGAACCAGGAGACCGTGGCCCGAGGGGGCTGGCCCCGTGGATCCGGTTAGCCGGCCAGCCTCCCGCCTTTGTCTGCCCTGCACTCTGGGAGGCTCATCCCTGACCCCATGTCACCGGGGTTTACATACGGCCACCAGGATGCGGGAGCCGGGTTCAGGAGACCCTTACACTAACAATTTCAAATGTAGATGGGGAAACTGAGGCACGGGGGACTTGGGGGCAGAGCTGGAAGTAGGAATTGGTCTGCAAAGGGCAGCTCTGAGGTCCGGGTCCCCTGGGGTGGCAGGAGGAGAGAAAGAGAAAGGGCCGCCCCCGGGGAGGGGGGGGGTCTGTGAGCAAAGGCGAGCAGGGACTCTGGGACAGAAAACTCACCGTGCTGGCCAGTCTGGTCCTGAACGGGGCTGGACTTGGCTTCTTACCGCCCTGGGGCTGACCCAGTCTGCCCACGCCGGCCTGGGTCTCCCTGACTTCTGAGGGCCCCAGCCAGTCTGACTTTCTCAGCTCTCAGTGCTCTGAGATGCTGCCATGGGGAACAGGGTGTGTGTGTGTGTGTGTGAAGGGCAGTAGGTGCGCACTAATCTGGGACCATGAGTGCTTTTATCCAGAGACAGCACTGTGCGGGACAGAGGCGAGGAGCTGTATCACGTAACGGAAGGAAGAGCTAAAAGCCAGAAGGACAGTAAGGCAGGGCCAGGGAGAGACGGGGACGAGCAGGGCCCTCATAGCCAGGGAGGTCAGGGAGCCTCTCCAAGGAGGTGACCTTCAGCCTGTGACTGGATGGAAGGCAGGGACCCAGCTGTGCAAACATCTGAGTCAAAAGTGACAGCATGTGCAAAGGCCCTGAGCCAGTAGCTGATGGGGCCGGTTCAAGTCACAGAAGGAGGTTTGGTGGTTCCTCGGGGAGTTAAACAGAATTTCCCAGCGATTCCGCTCCTAGATGTGCACCCAAAAGAATGGAAATAGGTGTTCTAACAAAACTCGTACACGGACATTCAAAGCACGAATTGCAGTGGCCGAGAGTTTGAAGCAGCCCAGATGGCCAACAAATGGGTCAATGGACACACACAAGGTAGTCCGTCCACACACTGGAATATTACTCAGCCGTGAAAAGGAGCGAGGCTCTGAGTCTCGCTACGGCGTGGATGAATCTGTAACACACAACACTCAGTGAGAGAAGCTGGACACACAAGGCCACACGGTGTGTGTTTCCACTGATGTGAAACGTCCAGAACAGGCATATCCATGGGGACAGGAAGGGTAAACAGAAGGGTCTGTCTTTACCTCCGGGAGAGCAAGACCAGAGGGTAAAGGGCAGAGGGCAGGTCCCGCAGGGGGCGCGTTGGCTGCTGTGTGGGGTTTGGCACCGCTGGGAGTGGATCAGAGCTCACGCTTCGGTGAAAGATACGAGTGTGTCTGTGTGGCGTGTGGGCTCTCTGTGTCATGAGTGTGCCCAGCGTGGGGGTCCTCCAGGCCCCTCTGACTCCTCTTCCCTGGGAGCCACGGGCCCCGCCCCATCAGGAGCTTCGGGGAGCTTCCTCTGGGTATGTTCTCACCCCGAGCCTGTGCCCTCGGCTCCTCCAGCTCCTGTCCAAATACGACCCTCAGAAGGAGGCAGAACTCCGCAGCTGGATCGAGGGACTCACGGGCCTGTCTGTCGGCCCCGACTTCCAGAAGGGTCTGAAGGATGGGATTATCCTGTGCACGTGAGTGTGGGTGTTGGCTCGTGTTCCGCATGCGGCGGTCACGCGCCCGTGCTGTCTGAGGCTTGCTTGCTTTTTCCTCAGTGCGTCTTGGGTCTCGTTCTGCTTCTTCTTGTGTTATTGCTTTGTCGAGGGTTGCTAACGGGGAGCGTCTCCTAAAGTTTCTGGGGGCCTTTCTCTGATGCATCCTGTTCAGACATTCCATGGTTTGCACATTAAAAATGTGAACGGAAAGTCCCAGATTCACTTCCCAAAATCAGGGGTTCTGGATTATACTCCCAGCCCCCATCGCTGTCCCTCTTCAGCATCTCTGCTTTGTGAGTGGACATGACCTTGCAAGAGGGGAAACTGAGGCCCAGAAAGAGGCGGTGAAGTTGCCTCGCAAGGTGGCCAAGCTTAGAATTGGCCTCTTGAATCCGTGAGGTTCCCATCCGTTAATAGAGGTTCCTGTTTCCTCCCCCACCCCCAGACTCATGAATAAGCTGCAGCCGGGCTCAGTCCCCAAGATCAACCGCTCCATGCAGAACTGGCACCAGGTGAGGGACTGGCGGGTGGAGCGAGGACAGGGCCAGGGGCTCCCATTGGACCGGCGGGCAGCCCGAGGTCCCCTCACTGCCCCTGTTCTGCCTCCTCCCAGCTAGAGAACCTCTCCAACTTCATCAAGGCCATGGTCAGCTACGGCATGAACCCTGTGGACCTGTTCGAGGCCAACGACCTGTTTGAGAGTGGGAACATGACGCAGGTGCAGGTGTCTCTTCTCGCCCTGGCAGGGAAGGTGAGGCCCAGAGAGGGGCAGCGACCTGCCCCAAGCCACACAGCGAGGGCGACACGGGTTTATAGATGATCTCATTCGTTCCTTTGCAAATATTTCTGAGCACCCAGGAGGCACCGGGCACCCTGGATTCCATGTGAACAGGACAGACAGTCCACCCTTTTGTGGGCTCACAGTCTGATGGAGGAATAAACAATAAACAAGTTTTTTTTTTTTAATTAAAAACTATTCTTTAGAACAGTTTTAGGTTCACACCAAAATTGAGAGGGAGGTGCAGAGATTTCCATACGCCCCACGCCCACCCCTGCTCACATGTAGCTCCTCCCACCACTGTCCACCTCCCCACCTGAGAGGCGACCCTCCCCACTCCCATCATCCAGAGTCCACACGAGGGTCTCCTCTTCAAATCCTTTTTTCATAAGTCATAAACAAGTTGTAGGTTGTGACGCGTGCCTGGCAGGGAAAGAAAGAATTAGGCCCACGCGTGGGGTCTAGTGGCCCTTGGACCGAGACCAGGGTGGGCTGGGCCGGCGTTTCAGGAAGAGGAGACTTCAGGGCCCTGATGTGGGAGGGGAAGGTGGGTCTCAGCGTCAGGAGCCAGGCTCCGAAGGACGTTTCCAGGAGACCCCGTGGCTGCAGGGAGGAGCCCCGGGGCAGAGATGGTGGCCGTGTCCTGGGCAGGTGGCTACCCTCGGGGGTTGGGTAGACAGTGATGGGACTTGAGAGAGAGGGGTGCCCCCTGAATTCTCAGCCTGAACACCTGGACGGGTGGGGCCGTCAGGACTCTGAGTCCGAGATGCCCGAGGCACTGGGTGGCAGGTGGAGGGCAGGTCGTAGCCCCGTTCCTGGGCCACGCGCTCTGGGCCTGGCTCCAGGGTCCTGGGCGCCCCTCCCGGATTCCCCAGCTCTCCTCCTCTCCAGGCCAAGACAAAGGGGCTGCATAGTGGCGTGGACATTGGCGTCAAGTACTCAGAGAAGCAGGAGCGGAACTTCGACGACGCCACCATGAAGGCCGGCCAGTGTGTCATTGGGCTCCAGGTGGGTGTCCACCCCTGAGGCCCACTGGGCAGAGGGGCTTCTGCAACCCAGGCTCTGTCCCACCCGGTGGCCCCTTGAGTTCAAGGCAGCCCTTGAAGACCTCTCCTGCCCCCCTCCCTACAGATGGGCACCAACAAGTGTGCCAGCCAGTCGGGCATGACAGCGTACGGCACGAGAAGGCATCTGTATGACCCCAAGAACCACATCCTGCCGCCCATGGACCACTCGACCATCAGCCTGCAGATGGGCACCAACAAGTGTGCCAGCCAGGTGGGCCTCGCCGCATCCCCGCAGCCCCCAGCCCTGTCTCCTGCTGTGCAAAGCCCGCCCTCTCTGCTGACACCCCCACTCTGGGCCCCCCTGCTGCCTCTACTCCTGGGCCTGCTCTGTCCCTGCCCAGCGTGCTGCGTGTTCCTAGGAGAGTTACCCCCCAGCTCTGGGCCTCGTGTTTCCTCTGCGTTTTGCCTCAAGGCCCATCCGACTCTGAACTTTTTAGATCCCGCAATTATCAATTTTCCTGCCGTTTCGCCGGGAGGGGCGTTATGCTGGCTTTGAAGCACTTGAGTTCTTGAGGGGCCCCAGCTCCCCCTCTCCCCATCCGCCCTGACACACTGTCCTCCCTCTCCAGGTGGGCATGACGGCTCCCGGCACTCGGCGGCACATCTATGACACCAAGCTGGGGACCGACAAGTGTGACAACTCCTCCATGTCTCTGCAGATGGGCTACACGCAGGGCGCTAATCAGAGCGGCCAGGTCTTTGGCCTGGGCCGGCAGATCTATGACCCCAAGTACTGCCCACAGGGCTCAGTGGCTGATGGGGCTTCAGGGGCTGCGGGCGACTGCCCCAGCCCAGGGGCGGCCCCGGAGTACCCCCCCTACTACCAGGAGGAGGCTGGCTACTGAGGCACCTGTGCAGGGTGTCTCCCCACATCATCGCCGCCATATGAGTTTTCAGGTTTTTCCGTGTTTTCATCTTGTTTTTCTGGGTGCCCAAGTGCTTCCAGCTGAGGGTCTGTGGGGGTGGAGCGAAGGCCGGATCCAGATGCATGTGGGGTGGGGGGCCCTGACAGGGCCCATCCAGGCAGCAAATTTCCCAGCAGGCTTTGGGCTGAGCTGTGTGGGTGGGGTTGGGGGACTGGGGGGAGTGAAGAAGAAACCTGGGCAGGGATGGGGAACTGGCCCCAAATGGCTTCCGGTTGCTTTTCCCTTCTTCCCTTTTCTCTGCCGATCAGTTTGTGGTTTCTGTCCCCACAGGTCAGGTAGTTTAAATGAAAGTCTTTTTTTTTTTTTTTCAGGGGAATGGGGTGGGGATGGTGCAGTGGGGGTGCTGGGAAGGAAGTAGGTCCCCTGGGAAAAGACCAGGCTACAGTCCCGAGATATTTTAGGCATTGTGAGGGACTGGATTTCCCCAAGACCTGCCTAGGGGCCCAGTGGGGAAACTGAGGCCCATACAGGACGACGGAGTCTAACTGGTTGAGGCCAAGCCAGACCCTCCCTTTCCTTACTTGTCCCCTCTCCCCTACCGAGTACTGCACAAGAGCCCCCCCACCCAGAGGCCCTCCGGGGACCAGCCCTACCCAGGAGCACTGGGACCAAAAAAATAATGTGAAATACCAACTGTGGACCAAAGGCAATAAAAACCTCTTTTTAGGGACAAGTACTGGGAGAGTTGGCGTCAGAGGCAGCCTGGGGGGGAGGGGGTGGGCTGTGTGCTTCGTCGTGGGGTGGGGAGGTGGCAAACACCTGATGCCCACAGCCATCTTGGGAGAAGAGGAGCTGAGGCCCAGGACACAGGCCAGTCTCGGCTGAAGAAATGATTTGGGGGCTGGGGAAGAGGCTGGGCCTCCTGACTGGTTAGAGGGGAGGTGGGAGCCTCAACACCACCCCCACCCTGACAGCTTTGGCTGCCCCCAGGCTCCGCCGTCCAGGCCTTCGCTCCTGCATTCACCCCGCCTGCAGTTTCGTCCCTGAAAAGCCCCAACAACAACACCACCTTCCTCCGTGGACCCCTCCCCGGTGCCTTCAGATCTGTGGATCCTTGTGTCATCGTCCTCAGGATCTTGTGACATACTCAATTTTCAGCAGCGGGAAACTAATCCTGAGGCTTTCTTCAAAATGGGGGCAACCCAGGACTCTAATCTTAGAATGTCAGGGTCCCCCGCCCCTCCCGCCACTTCCTGTGTAAGCGTAGGGACCAAGGAATATTTGCGGAGTGAATGAATGATGAAAAGTCGAAGCCTGCATTCCTGATGGAGGGATGCAGTCCCAGGACAACAGGGCGAGTCTGGCTAGAACCTGGGCCCCCAGGGGAGAGTGGGGAGAAGGGGAGCTCCCGCGTCCGGAGCTGCATCGCTGGCGGCTATGCCACATGGGAAGACACCCGGGCCTGGCGCTCCGCCACCTCACGGTGATGCAGCAAGAAAAAAGCAAGGAGACCAGCTCCGCGCGGCGGGGATGTGACCCCACCTCCTCCCAGAGCGCGCGCGGCTCGGGCTGGCTCGGGCTGTGAGTGGCGAGAACGGCAGCCAATAGCAGGAGGCGGGGGCGGTGCCGCGGGGTGCCCAGTTCAGGTCGCTGTGGGCTGCAAGGGCTCCGCGCCCGCTGGGGGGCTTCTCTTAAAGGGGCCGTTGTCAGGCGGAGGGAAGGCGGCAAGCGCTGGGGGCTGGAACGGTGAGCGGGTCCGGGAGAGAGAGGAAGGCCCCGAGAGGATGCGGGGGTCGGGATAGGTGGGAGGAAGGCAGGTTTCCGGGGAATTACAGGGTGCGGGCAGAGCCCAGACTCTCACCGCTGCCTGCCGGTGAGTGTTGGGGAGCGGCAGAATCGACCAGTCCTTCTCAAGGGGCAGACTGGACATTCGACTCCCCTGAGAGATGCTTTGCCAATGTACACCTGCAGCCCCTTTCCCCTTTCTCCTCTAGGCCCTCTGCCCCCATTTTACAAATGGAGAAACCGAGGCCGCTCCCCAAGATCCCACTTTATGTAAAGGAGAGTTCCGGAGTGGCGGGCGGGGGTCCTAGGTCCTAGTCCCGCTTCGTATGTGCTATGGCAGCTCCCTGTCTCAGATTCATCATCTGTACAATCGTGAAACTGGCCAGAGCGGGACAGTTCCAAACAGCGGACGGAGGTCAGGAATCGCTCGTCCCAGGAGGCTCCACTGCCCCTTCTCCTAATCCGTTTTCTGGATCTTGGGGTTCTTCTGAGCGATAAATGATATATGAGGGGTGGGCAGAGTTGGGGCCCCCTCCTCTAGCTGGGTGACTCGGCCCGCCTCTTTGGCCTCCTGGGTTGGCACCCGTTTGAGCCAGGAGTGTAAAGGGTTCATTCAGCACAGTAAACACTTTGCTATCGTCATTAGAGAAGAGCAGGGGGAACGGGGATACTTTCCCAGGTCGGGGATGAGGCTGGGGGCCGGGGTCTGGAGACCTCCTCGGGGGATCAGGGTAGCCGAGGCCCCGCCCCCTGAAGGATTAGTTTACAGCCTTTCGATCCCAGCGGCAGCCCCGAGCGGAGCGACAGTCCTAACAGCCAATAGGATTCGAGGACAGCTTCGGGCAGGGCTCCCATTGGCTCACTCCACCCCTCTGTTTGCCTCCTGACTCTAAGCCAAGCGACCAGGAATCCTGCGCAATGGGAGAGAAGAACGAGGTTCAGAGAGGGACAGGGAGTTGCCCGCAGCCACACAGCACGTCCCCGGCCTGACCTCTCCGTCCTGTTTTCTGTTTATTTCCACGATGGCGTTCTGGACGCAGCTGATGCTGCTGCTTTGGAAGAATTTCCTTTATCGGAGGAGGCAGCCGGTAACGCCTGGGCTTTTGGGGCCAGGGTGGGCGGCCCAGGCGCCCCTCACCGTTCGCCATTACTTGGCTTGCTGTGTCTCCCCCAGGTCCAGCTCCTGGTGGAATTGTTATGGCCTCTCTTTCTCTTCTTTATCCTGGTGGCCGTCCGCCATTCCCACCCCCCACTGGAGCAGCATGAATGTAAGCCCCCAGGGTCCAGGTCCTTTGTACAAGGGGGAGGCGAGAGGTCGCCTTATCCACAGGGGCCCCAGGGAGCACAAACCGCCGGCACCTCATAAACAGCTGAGCGTTATTACTCTGCGGTCGGGGGGTGGGATCACGGTGAGGACTCCCGCAAGGCCCCGGCGCCCGGTGTCCCAGCAGGCCACTTCCCCAACAAGCCGCTGCCCTCGGCGGGCACCGTGTCCTGGCTCCAGGGTCTCATCTGCAACGTGAACAACACCTGCTTCCCACAGCACACCCCGGGCGAGGAGCCTGGCGTTCTCAGCAACTTTAACGACTCCCTGTAAGCAAGCGCTGTGGGTGCGCAGCCCCGCGTGCGTGCGGGGGTGCCCGCCGAGCCGCTGCCTCCAACTGTTCTCTGTCCCCAGGGTCTCCCGGCTCCTGGCAGATGCCCGCGCCGTCCTGGGGGGCCCCAGGGCCCGCAGGATGCTGGTCAGCTTGGGGAAGCTGATGCCCAAGCTGAGGGCTGCACGCAGAGCAGGTGGGGAGGTGGGGGCGTTTGGTAGGTGGGACGGAGCTCTGAGCCTCCACCTGCCCAGCTGTGAAATGGGCACAGGGTGGGGTGGGGTGGGGTTGTAGGCCAAGCTTTGCCTAACCCTGTGCTTCCATGCATTCCTCCTCCAGACTGGCCTCAGTCGAGTGACCTGCCACAGGAGGGACGGTCCCTGGCCACTGAGATGCTGGGAACAGTGCTGCAAGGGGTGAGGTGGGGGGGTGGGGTGAGATTTGGCCCCCTCTGGGACTCTACTCTCAGGAAGTCCCTGCTCTGCCCCATCCTGGGCGAGGTGACTCCCTTCCAGGGCCACTGGTTCCAGCCTCCAGGCCTTTGTCTGGCTGTCCCTGGTGCCTGGAGTGATATTAGAGGCCATGTCTGAAGTGGCGATGGACTCCAGACCTTCAGACCTTGAACGAGTCCCTGTGCCTCTTGGAGCCTTAGATTCTCTCTTTATAAAATAGGGTTTTATAAAGGGCTTAGCAAAGTACTTGACCCCTAGCGAGACCTCAGTCAAAGTCATTGTCACCTTTGTGGTCTTTCTTCCCAGGAGTCCCTGAGGTCTGTGCTCAGCCAAGCCCAGGAGTCAGTGGAGGCGGCAGAAGACCTGGCCCAGGAGGTAAGAGACCCCCTCATGCTCCACCCCAGGCAGGAAACCGCAAGGGTGAGCCACCTGACGGGGAGGCGACAGGGCAGCCCTGGGCACTTCCCTTGGGTAGTTTTTTTTTGTGGAGGGGACTTGGGTAGAAAGAGAGGGGGAGGTGCTCCTGGAGGGTGCCCTGCCCTGGTTGAGGCTTGGCGGTGGGACCCAGCAGGAGTGAGGACTGTTAGCGCCCCCTGGTGACCTCTCCCCAGCTCCGGGCGCTGCCCAGCCTGGCAGAGCTGCAGGCGCTGTTGCCAAGACTCCGAGAGACAGATAGCACCCTGGCGGTGGTGTCAGAAGCCCTCTGCAGTGCCAAGGGGCCCAGTGTCCCTGGGGGGCCCTCCCTCAACTGGTATGAGGCCAGCGACCTGAAGGAGTGGGTTGGGCAGGAGCCCACCCTTCCCGACAGCAGCCTGAGTGAGTGACGGAGCTCGGTTTCTCAGTCTGGGAAGTTGGGTGGTCGGTGTGGGGGCAGGACCTCATGGCGACCCCGCCCCAGGCCCTGGCTGTGCTGAGCTGATGGGAGCCCTGGACAAGCACCCACTGTCCCGCCTGCTCTGGAGGCGCCTGAAGCCGCTGGTCCTGGGGAAGCTGCTCTTTGCGCCTGACACACCCTTCACTCGGCAGCTCATGGCCCAGGTGGGAATGGGGCGGGGGTCCCGGATCCCTCCCTCGACCCAGGTGGGCGAGGGCTAGGCCGGGGAGAGAGTCCCAGGAGGCACGTGCCAGCGCTCAGAGGCACCGGATGGAACAAAGAGGAGGAGGAAGAAGTGGGCTGGGGAGGGGCTGCGGGCTGGGGAGGGGTTCCGAGCTGGGGAGGGGCTGCGAGCCGGGGAGCCTGGCGTGGATCTCGGCTCCTGCCTCCTGCAGGTGAACCGGACCTTCCAGGAGTTGGCTCTGCTGAAGGACGTCCAGGAGGCGTGGGGGGTGCTGGGACCCCAGCTCTTCAGCTTCATGAACGACAGTGCAAATGTAGCCGCACTGCAGGTGGGGCTCGGCCGAAGGGCGGCAGACGCATCCGCAGCCTCCCGGGGAGTAGCACCCCCTGCTGACGGTTACAGCGGAGGGAAGGCAGGGCCGGGCCGCCAGGGCAGGGCAGGGAGGCGAGGTGTGGAGGCAGAGTGAGGACAGGCCCCAGGGGTGGGACGAGGCGACGGGGCATTCCATGCCCCATGCAGATCCCCATCTTCCCCCATCACCCTCCAGAGGCTTCTGCAAATTCAAGACCAAGGAAGGGGGCAGTCAGGGCCTGGAGCGGGGCTCCGGGAGGGGGCCCTTCGAGCTTTTCTGGACTCGCGCGCGGGCGGCTACAGCTGGCAGGACGCCTACGCAGATGTGGAGCAGCTGGTGGGCATTCTGGGCCGTGCGATGGAGGTGAGCGGCCATCCACTGGGGAACTCTTTCGAGGGGGGCCGGCCTGCCCTGTGGGGTGTCTGATGGAGGAGGAAGCTCGGCTCAGCCCCCCACCCCGGCCCCGCCTCGGGGCCCAGGGCAGGACGCCCGGAGTCTTGGACCCATGCATAGGCCCCTCCCCAGTGCGTGACTCTGGACAAGCTGGAGGCAGCGCCCTCGGAGGCGGCCCTGGTGGAGCGGGCTCTGGAGCTGCTCGCAGAGCGCCGCTTCTGGGCCGGCGTCGTCTTCCTGGGCCCCGAGGACTCCCCGGACCCGGAGCCTCTCCCAGGCCCGGGCCACGTGCGCATCAAGATCCGCATGGACATCGACAACGTCGTCAGAACCAACAAGATCGGAAACAGGTGCGAGTGCGACCACGTGTGGGAACCGGGGCGTCACACGTGGAACTCATAGCGGACAGAGCCCAGGATTCCCACTGGGGTCCGTGGTGGGCGGGGCCCAACTTGCGTAATGGGCGTGCCCAAAGGCTTGATGGGCAGGGCCAACACCTCGGCCTCCGGGATAAGTGGGTGTGGGACGATTCCGACTGCGTGGCAGGCGGGGTCCGGCGCGTAGTTGAGCCCGTGGGTGAGGGCGGTGCTAAAGTCGTGATGAGCGGGGCCCTGGGAGTTTCCAGCCGCTCTTTGCAGGTTTTGGGACCCTGGCCCGGCCGCCGACCCCCTGACAGATATGCACTATGTGTGGGGAGGCTTCGTGTACCTGCAGGACCTGCTGGAGAATGCAGCCGTGCGCGTGCTGAGTGGCAGCGCGCCACGTGCCCGCCTCTACCTGCAGCAGATGCCCTATCCGTGCTATGTGGACGATGCGTGAGTGCCCCCTCCTCACTCGTTCCCCCAGCCGCCAGATCCTGGATGTCAGGTGGGACTCGGCTCCATTTGGAACATTCACAGTCAAGGCTGCGAACTGCTGGTTTAGGCGGACCACCCCCTGTGACTTGTAGCAGGAAGAGCAGGGAACCCCCGAGGATCTGGAATCTCCGGGTGCAGGGACACTGTGGCCTGGGCTGACAGTTGGGCCCCTGAGGCGGGATGAGCGGTCTGAGGATAAGGGAGGGCGAACGTCTGTGGCTGGCTGCGCCTTGAGACACCCTGGCAGATGCGGGCTGCACAAAGTCTCCAGCTTCCACACCTGCCGCCCCAGGTTCCTGCGCGTGCTGAGCCGGTCGCTGCCGCTTTTCCTGACGCTGGCCTGGATCTACTCGGTGGCGCTGACGGTGAAGGCCGTGGTGCGCGAGAAGGAGACGCGACTGCGCTACACGATGCGCGCCATGGGGCTCAGTGGCGCCGTGCTCTGGCTGGGCTGGTTCCTCAGCTGCCTGGGGCCCTTCCTCCTCAGCACCGCGCTGCTCGTGCTGGTGCTCAAGGTGGGCGTGCCTCGGCCTTCCAGGCTGCAGAGTGGGCGCGCGCTCAGGGTGGGGTAAGGGGGGAGGCAGGAGGCGCCTCGCGTGGGTGCACGCCCCTGGTCCAATCGGGCGCCCGACCCTGCGCTCCCTTTGCTTCCCGCAGCTCGGGGACATCCTCCCGTACAGCCACCCGGTGGTGCTCTTTCTGTTCTTGGCTTCCTTCGCCGTGGCCACCGTGGTCCAGAGCTTCTTGCTGAGCGCCTTCTTCTCCCGTGCCAACCTGGCGGCCGCCTGCGGGGGCCTCGCCTACTTCGTGCTCTATCTGCCTTATGTGCTGTGCGTGGCCTGGCGGGACCAGCTGCCTGCCGGCGGCCGCGTCGCCGCGGTGAGATCTGGACCCAGGTGGGGTGCGGGATCCCCTCAGCTCCATTCGCTCGCTGACCCACCCGCCCCCACCCGCAGAGCCTTCTGTCCCCAGTGGCCTTCGGCTTCGGCTGCGAGAGCCTGGCGCTGCTGGAGGAGCAAGGCGAGGGCGCGCAGTGGCACAACGTGGGCGCCGGGCCGGCGGCTGACGTCTTCAGCCTGGCCCAAGTCTCGGGCCTCCTGCTGCTGGACGCCTTGCTCTATGGCCTCGCCACCTGGTACCTGGAGGCCGTGTGCCCAGGTGGGCCCTAAGAGTAGGGAGCAGCCGCACCGGGGAGGCGGGGCTGAGGGAGGGGGCGTGTCCGAGGCGGGGCTTCCTGGCACTTGTGCACAGCTGGCCTGGAGCAGGCGGGTGGGCGGGGTTCCCTTTCCCTAGTCACCTGGCACCTGGATGCCCCGATCCCACGTGTGCGGCCAGAAACCGGCGCGGTTCAGGAGGATGGGCTCCAAGAGTAACTGAGCGCCACTCTCCGCAGGCCAGTACGGGATCCCGGAACGGTGGAATTTTCCCTTTCGAAGGAGCTACTGGTTTGGGCCTAGAGCCCCCAAGGATCCCGCCCCGCCCCCAGCCCCGCAGGACCCGAAGGGTGAGGAGACGAGCCTTAATAGCCGCTTCCCCGTCTGGACACCCCCAGACCTCCCCCAAACCCACGTTCCCACAGATCCGTCTCTGGACACCTCGCGTTCCCCGGGCCCCTGGAGGGTTTCCATACCGCCCGCTGACCGGCCCCGCACACCGGCCCCGCACACCGGTCCGGACGGCCTTGGCGGCTCGGGCTGACGGCCTGCCTTCCGCAGCGCTGATGGAAGAGGCTCCGCCAGGCCTGGTTCCGGGGGTCTCCGTCCGGGGCTTGGAGAAGCGGTTCCCTGGCACCCCCACGCCGGCGCTGCGGGGGCTCAGCCTGGACTTCTACCAGAGCCACATCACCGCCTTCCTGGGCCACAACGGCGCCGGCAAGACGACCACGCTGTGAGCGGCGCCCCTCCTTCTTCCCTGGGGCTTCGGTTTGCACGTCTGTTCTGTGGGACGGGCACTGGGAGTGGGAGGGTCCCCACCTTTGCGGTAGGGGCGGAACCCCCGGTTCCCTTTGAGTACACGCAGGCCGGTGACGAGTATTTTCTCTGAGCTTCAGTTTTCCTCCTGAGAAAGCCACACGACACATCTGCGGTTCGGGTATACAATAGGCGCTCTGTAAATGCCGATGCTCCTCCCGCGGGGCCTCAGTTCTGCTTCTGAGGGCGCGGCTGCTCTGAGACCCCGCCACCCCCAGGTCCATCCTGAGTGGCCTCTTTCCACCCACCCGCGGCTCGGCCTGTATCCTGGGTCACGATGTCCAGTCCAGCATGGCGTCCATCCGGCCCCACCTGGGCGTCTGTCCCCAGTACAACGTGCTGTTTGACATGTGAGTCCTGACGCGCCGGGGTGCAGCCGGGGGATGGGGGGGACCAGGTGTTCTCTGGGTCCCTGGCCACCATGGTGGCTGCTGTTTTGGCCTGTGGCCGCAGGCTGACGGTGGATGAGCACATCTGGTTCTACGGCCGGTTGAAAGGTCTGAGTGTGGCTGCCGTAGGCCCGGAGCAAGACCGTCTGCTGCAGGACGTGGGGCTTGTCCCCAAGCGGCATGCCCAGACGCGCCACCTGTCCGGTGAGCCCAGCGTGGGAAGGGGAGGAGTCTGGGGAGGGGTCGTGACATTGCCCCAAGGGCAGTGGGAAGCCATAGGAGATCTGGGGGCCCCAGAAGGAGCCTGGCTCTGAGGTCCAGGTGGGCGGGGAGAGGGGCTTGGAGAGGGAAGGCAGCCCTGCCCAAGACGGGGGGGTCATGCCAAGATCCTGGTCTTCGTCCCTGCCCAGGTGGGATGCAGAGGAAGCTCTCGGTGGCCATCGCCTTTGTGGGTGGCTCCCAAGTCATTATCCTGGATGAGCCTACAGCCGGTGTGGACCCCGCTTCCCGTCGCAACATTTGGGAGCTGCTGCTCAAATACCGGGAAGGTAAGAGTTGGGGGCAACCCAGAGTTCCCTGGATTCTGCTTGAGGGGTCTGAAGAAGGTTTCTGGCAGGAGGTGCTGGGGATGGGGTTTTGAGGGGTGAGTAGGAGTTTGCCACGTGGGGCAGGTAATTCCTGGCAGAGGCTGCAAGTCAGGCAGAGACCTGGAGGCCTGAGGGCACATGTGGTTTGGGTCCCTGTGCTCAGGTCGCACACTGATCCTTTCCACCCACCACCTGGACGAGGCGGAGCTGTTGGGAGACCGCGTGGCAGTGGTGGCCGGCGGCCGCTTATGCTGCTGTGGCTCCCCGCTCTTTCTGCGTCGTCACTTGGGATCTGGCTACTACCTGACACTGGTGAAGGGTCTCCAGCCCCTGGCCACCAGCACAAAGGTGAGGGCTGGAGCTGACCTCTGACCTTTGACCCCCAATGGCTCTGTCTAGCCCCGATGGCTATGGTGGTTGGTATCCCTCTGCCTACAGGGTGACACTGATGTGGAGAACCGCATGGATGCCGGCCAGGAAGGAGAGCCAAGCAGCCAGGGCAGCAGGGCCGGTGAGGGCTGGGGTGGCAGAGCCGGGGGCAGGGGCTGGTGGGTGGCAGCGGCTTGGTTGAGGGCCACAGGGCTTCATGATCCCAGACTCGACCCCCGTCCCTGGGGGGACTCTGGCTCTGACCTCAGGTCAAGTCCTAACCTCAGGTGCTTCATCCCGACCTCCTCTGCCCACAGGGACTGGCCCTCGTGGGTCACCCGAGCTCCTTCCCCAGGGAGGCTGGGGTGGGAGGGTGAGGCCAGAGCTGGGGCCGCCCACCCCGTCGGGTCCCTTGATGACCCCCCGCCTGCCCCAGGTGCACCCCAGGTGCTGGCTGTGGTGCAGTGCCAGGTGCCAGGGGCACAGCTGGTCAAGGAGCTGCCCCACGAGCTGGTGCTGACGCTGCCCTACGAGGGAGCCCTGGACGGCAGCTTCGCCGAGCTCTTCCGTGAGCTGGACCAGCGGCTGGGGGAGCTGGGGCTGGCCGGCTACGGGATCTCCGACACCAGCCTCGAGGAGGTACACCTGCTGGGGGAGGGCTGCCTGGAGGAAGCGGTGCCAGGAAGGAGAAGGATTCTACTTGTGGACTGCAGGGTGACCCGGGAGGCTCGGAGGCCCTGCGGGAGGATAGGCAGCAGGTGCTTGAGTGCCCGGTCCCGTCCTGTGGGGCTCTAAGCTTCTGCTTTGTCTCCCCAGATCTTCCTGAAGGTGGACTGTGCCATGGACACAGACCCAGAGGGTGCTGCCTCAGGTCCCTGTCCTTAACCCCTAACTCTGGTCCGGACTTGGACCTGGCTTTACACTGAGTCCCGATTCCTGCACGACCTTCATCCGTAGTTCCCGGTCCCTGTCATCCATGGCCCCCTGACCCTGACCCAGCCCCCAGGCTGAGCACTAACCCCTGCCCCCGATCCCTGGTGGCTCCACAGACCGTGGCTGCAGGCAGCACCCGTGCACAGGTGTTCCTCACCCAGATAGGACCACACGGCTCAGGATCCTGCCAGAAGAGTCAGCCCTGGAGAACGGGGAGCTGGGTGAGGCGTTCCTCCCTGTCCCTGTGGCCCTGTCCTGTGGCCCCCCCCTGGTCCCCCCACCCCTGGTGTGAGCACTGACCAGCACCCCCATCTTCTGCAGCCGGGTGTGCCCCAGAGACACAGGCCCTGCGGGGCTCCGGGCTGGACATCGGGGGCCAGGTGCAGGGCTGGGCGCTGACCTGCCAACAGCTGCGGGCCGTGCTGCTTAAGCGCCTTCTGCTTGCCCACCGCAGCCGCCGTGGCCTGTTTGCACAGGTAGGGGGCCGGCGACTGGGGAGGAGGGGGCCGGCGACTGGGGAGGGGGCGTGGGAGCCCCTGGGGGTCTGTCCTGCACTCTGCGGCCTCATCCAGCTGCCTGAGCCCGGGTGTACCCCCCATCCTGCACACCTTCCTGAGACCGCCTGTATTGGGAGCCAGGGGTGGTGTAGAGTGGGGGCAGGGAGGGTCCAGTGAGCCTGGCGCATGGGTGGGGCGGGCAGCTGATGGCTGGTCCTGCAGATCGTGCTGCCCGCCCTCTTCGTGGGCCTGGCGCTGGCCTTCAGCCTCATCGTGCCTCCTTTCGGGTACTACCCTGCTCTGCGGCTCAGCCCCAGCCTGTACGGAGACCAGGTGTCCTTCCTCAGGTGGGTGCAGAGGACAGGGTACTGGTGGAGGGGCTGGGGGCCCACCGGCACAGCCCTGACCATGCGCCCGCACAGTGAGGATGCCCCCGGGGACCCCGAGCGTGCCCGCCTGCTGGAGGCGCTGCTGGAGGCCGCTGGATTGGACGACCCCTACCTGCAGAACAGCTCCCACAGGTGAGGCCCGGGCCTGGCCCCTGCCCTTCTCTGGCCTTGGTCCCCCTGCCTGGGCTCTGGCCAGTGGAGCGCCCCCTCCCTGTGCCTGCTCAGGACCTGGACACCGGGACCCACAGCCCCGCCCCCACAGGACACCCTCCGTCTGCTGGTTCTCGGTGCCTGAGGTCCCCGCAGATGTGGCTGAGGTCCTGGCCAATGGCAACTGGACCCCGGCGTCCCCGTCCCCCGCGTGCCAGTGCAGCCGGGCTGGGGCCCGCCGCCTGCTGCCCGACTGCCCTCCCGCGGCCGGCGGCCCCCCGCCTCCCCAGGTGCGGACCGGCTCGGGCGAAACCGTGCAGAACCTGACGGGCCGGAACCTGTCTGACTTCCTGGTCAAGACCTACCCGCGCCTGGTGCACCAGGGGTGAGCGCGGCCAGGCCCTTGCGTCGGTCTTCGGGTGAGGGGTGATCTGGTCTCCAGGGAAGTCGGGTGGGTGCCCAGGCCGCGCGCCTCCCGAATGCCCGCCACACTTCACCCGTTTCTGTCTGTCTCGCCCCGCCCCGCGTCTCGCCCCGCCCCGCATCTCACACTATTCCTCTGTCTCACTCACCTGTCCTTCTGCTCGTTCCTCTCACAGCCTAAAGACCAAGAAATGGGTGAACGAGGTCAGGTGAGGACGGCCTGGCCCTGGGTCCACTTTCTGCGCCTTCTGCTCACTCGCTGGGGGCGTCTCCCAGCCCACACGCCCTAGCCCTCAGGTGTCTCTCCTGCCCCCACTGCCCCACAGGTATGGGGGCTTCTCCCTGGGGAGCCGAGACCCGAGCTTGCCCTCGGGGCACGAGATGGCTCGCTCGCTGGAGGAGCTGCGTGCCCTGCTCAGCCCCCAGCCCGGCGGGGCCCTGGACCGCCTCCTGAGCAACCTCACGGTGTGGGCTCACGGCCTGGACGCTCAGGACAGCCTCAAGGTGGAAGCGGGGAGCGGGCAGGCGCCTGGGGGGGCAGGGCCGACTCCGTCACCCTGACGGCTTGGCCCTGACCCCGCCCCAGATCTGGTTCAACAACAAGGGCTGGCACGCCATGGTGGCCTTTGTCAACCGGGCCAACAACGCGCTCCTGCATGCCCACCTGCCCCCTGGCCCTGCCAGCCGTGCCTACAGCATCGTCACGCTCAACCACCCGCTGAACCTCACCAAGGAGCAGCTTTCTGAGGCCACGCTGTGAGGCCCCCTGCCCCGCGTGTCCTCCCCCGCCTCCGTTTCCCTGCTGCTTTGGGGCGGTGGGAGCTGGCTTTGCACTTGGCATGCTCTTGGGGAGCAGAGATGCCCCGTCTACTCCCTAGGCCAGGGACACCATCAGGCCCAATGTGCTCCAGTCCCCCCTGCCCCGGTCTGCGCGTCCTTGTCACACCAACCTTGATCCTACTGGAGACCCATACAGCCTCTCCCCGACCCATGACCCAGCCACCCTTACCTTGAAATGGCGTGGGCCATCTCCCTCACCAGTGGCCAGCCCTGTGGACCTTGGTCCAATCGATGGCGCTCACGGCTCTGCCCTGAGCGGCTCACGCGCACCGCCCTCCCCCAGGATGGCCTCCTCCGTGGACGTGCTCGTCTCCATCTGTGTGGTCTTTGCCATGTCCTTCGTCCCGGCCAGCTTCACCCTGGTCCTCATCGAGGAGCGTGTCACCCGAGCCAAACACCTGCAGCTCATGAGGGGCCTGCCTGTCACCCTCTACTGGCTGGGCACCTTTCTCTGGGACATGGTGCGGGGACCGCCCGGAGCGGTGGGGACTCGGCCATCATTCGCTGCTCTGCCCAAAATGCAGGGCAGTCAGGGTGGGTCATGGGGCTGAGGGTGGCAGGTCCCACTTCCTCACACCGATGAGGGTAACTGCCATCTCTCATGCAGTGTAACTACTTGGTGCCGGCATGCATCGTGGTGCTCATCTTTCTGGCCTTCCAGCAGAGGGCGTACGCGGCACCTGCCAACCTTCCTGCCCTGTTGCTATTGCTGCTACTATACGGGTGAGGCCCCCAGACTCTCAGGACCTGTTCTCACTGACCTCGCCCTGCCCAATACAGTTGAGGGAGATGGGACTCTGTAGCAGGTCCCAAGGAGAGGAAGAAGATTTGGAGGTCTGGGGTGACCCCAAGTGAGAACTGCTTCGATGTTGTGCCCAGATGGCCTTAAAAGTTCATTTTGTCCCAACTCACACTGATGGGGTCGGCAGTGTGGAAGGTGGCAGGGGAGACTTGTGTCCCTCCCGGGGTGACGCAGCCCCCGGTCTGAGTGGTTACCCAGCAACTTCTGTCGCTCCCCCCCACCTCCCAGCTGGTCGATCACGCCCCTCATGTACCCAGCCTCCTTCTTCTTCTCCGTGCCCAGCACGGCCTACGTGGTGCTCACCTGCATCAACCTCTTCATCGGCATCAACTGCAGTATGGCCACCTTCGTGCTTGAGCTCTTCTCTGATCAGGTGGGACTCTGCGAGGCCGGGCCTCAGGCTGGGGCCGGGAGGGGGCCCCCGACCCAGCTCCCCGTTCTCTTCCCCTGAGCAGAAGCTGCAGAAGGTGAGCCGGATTCTGAAACGAGTCTTCCTTATCTTCCCCCACTTCTGCCTGGGCCGAGGGCTCATCGACATCGTGCGGAACCAGGCCATGGCTGATGCCTTCGAGCGCTTCGGTGAGAACGTCCCTCCAGGCGGGGAAGCGCCAGCCGAGGGTCAGTTATGCAGGATAGGGACAAACAGCAGGTCTTAGGCGGCCCCAAGTTTGGGTCAAATTAGAGATGCATAAAAGCTAATTTTACCTGAGGTCACATCACAAGAGGTCTAAGGCTCTAAATAAGGGAGGCGGTGATACCACTGTTTTCTGTTATCAGTTAGACTCCAGTTGAATGGCCAATCCAGTTCCTGGTCTGTTAAGAACCCAAGGTGACGTAGATGGGGAGGGGCTCGGAAACCAAGCCCCTCCAAGGACCCGATCCCTCCTTCCTGTTCCCACAGGAGACGGGCAGTTTCAGTCACCCCTGCGCTGGGAGGTGGTCGGCAAGAACCTCTTGGCCATGGCGGTACAGGGGCCCCTCTTCCTCCTCTTCACGCTCCTGCTGCAGCACCGTGCCCGCCTCCTGCCACTGTCAGTGGGGATCCGGGCGGGGTGGCAGGGGCCGGGGACCAGCTTCCAGCCCACTCATGTCTCTATCCTCAGACCCAAGCTGAAGCTGCTGCCCTCCTTGGGGGAGGAGGATGAGGACGTGGCCCGGGAGCGAGAACGCATGGTCCGAGGGGCCACCCAGGGGGATGTGTTGGTGCTGCGGGACCTGACCAAGGTTGGTGCATGGCGCTGGGTAGGAGGCTTCCGCTGGCCCACCCACCTTTCTCAGGGTCCCGTGTTCCTCCCAGGTGTACCCCGGGCAGAAGACACCAGCCGTGGACCGCCTGTGCCTGGGGATCCCCCCCGGTGAGGTGAGTCCAGGTCCGTCCTAGTGCAGGGGTCACCAGTGAGAGGCAGCCCTACTGTGTGCCCCTACCCCATACTGATCACCTTCTGTGTGCCGTCTGCCTTTTATTGATTGCCTACTGGCTGCCGACATATGAGCTCCTATTTTGAGCCAACAAACACTTATTGAGCAATACTGCATGCTTGCATTTATTGAGTCCTATGCAATTAAGTATTAGTAAAGACCTACTGAGGACAAGCATATTTATTATCAAGCACCTATTGGGTGCCCACACATGTGCCGGTAACCTTTAGCAAGCATCTACTGTGTGCTAGCTATAGCCAGCCTCTCAACCTCAGGCTGACTGTGCACCCAGCCTGGGTGCCCCTGTGTGGCAGAAGCATTTGGAAGTCTCCAGCCCAGACAAGAATGGGGCACTTGCTGCACGTGACCTTCACAGGACACCTACTGTGTGTCGGGATTGATTAAACGCATCCCATGTGCCAACAGCCATTTCTTACTAAGCGACAGCCTTCTGCCTCCCCGCACACCCCAGTATTTGCCCCAGGGGTGCCCCTTGCCCACAGCCCTCCACTTAGAAACTCAGAGATGGTGGGACAAGGATCGGAGGCCTTGTCGAGCGCTCTCTGTGGGTGTCGTCACAGTGTTTTGGCCTGCTGGGCGTGAACGGAGCAGGGAAGACATCCACGTTTCGCATGGTGACTGGGGACACGCTGCCCAGCGCGGGTGAGGCCATGCTGGCAGGCCACAGGTGAGTGGGCTCCTGAGACACTCCACCCCTTACCAGAGTGGCCCCGGGGGCTGGACCGCTGCGTTTGTCCCAGCATGCCCTGGGCCTAGCCAGTCCCCCTAGCGCCGGTCCACTATCCTCAGCGTGACCCAGGAACCGGCTGCCGCACACCGCCGCATGGGCTACTGCCCTCAGTCGGACGCCATCTTCGAGCTGCTGACTGGCCGTGAGCACCTGGAGCTGTTTGCACGCCTGTGCGGAGTCCCGGAGGCCAAGGTTGCCCAGGTGACCCACTGCTCCCCCACTCTCCTGGAGCCTCTAGATCCCAGCCCATACTGGCTCCACTTGGCCACGCCCCAATCCAGACCCACCTGCCCTATCTGGACCCCCGCCCTGCCTCCCCGCTCCTACATTCACATGGGTCCACTACTGCTTCCTAGTCGTCCGGGCTGCACCTGCTGGACCCACCTCTTCCCTTGGACTCTCTCCCTGACCCATCCCCTCTCTCCCTGATCCCTCCCACTCCCTCCCTGACCCCTCCCACTCTCTCCCTGATCCCTCCCACTCCCTCCCTGATCCCTCCCACTCTACCCGACCCTCCCACTCCCTGACCCCTCCTCTCTCCCCTGACCCCGCCCACTCCCTCCCTGACTCCTCCCACTCCCTGACCCCACCCACTCTCTCCAGGACCCCAACCATTCCATGACCCCAACTCTTGCTGAGGGCTTTGAGCTGGCCCCTGGGGCCAGGTCCCATCCCCAGGTTTCTGTCCCATCCTGTGCTGTGCTGGCCCCGCCCCTTTGTTTACCTTCACCTCGGCCATGCCCTCGCCCCACCACCCCTGTCCTCCTCGGTCCTGCCTTGTGTGGAGGTTCCACCCACCCACCCACTCTGCCCCTACCGTGCTACCCCCACCTGGCCCCACGCTCACTCTGGTCCCCTCTAACGGGCACACCCTCACTCTGGCCCGTAGACAGCGACCTTGGGCCTGGCGCACCTGGGACTCTCGCAGTACGCGGACTGGCCCGCGGGCACCTACAGCGGCGGCAACAAGCGGAAGCTGGCAACGGCCCTGGCGCTGGTGGGGGACCCGGCGGTGGTCTTTCTGGTGCGTGGCTGCGGGTGGGTGGGGCCGGGGCGGGGCCAGTCTTGCTCCCTCTCACTCCTGCTCCCTCCCAGGATGAGCCGACCACTGGCATGGACCCCAGCGCCCGTCGCTTCCTGTGGAACAGCCTCCTGGCCGTGGTGCGGGAGGGCCGCTCCGTGGTGCTCACCTCGCACAGGTGAGGCCCGGGCCGGGCCCCAGGGCTATGGGTCAGGGCGGTCCAGGATCGGGGCGGGGGTCGGAGGGGGAGGAGCAGACCCCATGGAGAGGCTGTCAGCATGCAGACACACGGAATGGGGTATCCCTGACCATGGGGGAGGGTGCCAGGCCCGAGAGACACGGGGTGATGGTAGCTGACCCCAGCAGCCGAGCGGTCTGGGCCTGGCGGGAAGTGTTCAGAGTAGACGGTGGCCCAGGCAGGAGGATGGGCGGTCCGTGCCTGGTGGGAGCTCACGGCTCTCGGTCCCCAACAGCATGGAGGAGTGTGAGGCGCTCTGCACGCGCCTGGCCATCATGGTGAACGGGCGGTTCCGCTGCCTGGGGAGCGTGCAGCACCTCAAGGGCAGGTGAGCAGGCGAGGCCTCGGCGGCCATGCTGGGACGGGAGTAGGCTGGTGGCTGTGACAGGAGAGGGGTGAGGATCAGGGGCTGCCCACAAGATGTTGAGGAGGTGGAGCGGGTCCTGGAGGCGTGGAGTCGGAGGAGGGCCAGGTGAGTGGGCGGGGTCTCGGGAGAGGCTGGGTCCGAGGAGGGATGAACACTAGGGAAAGGATGAGCAGGGGGCGGAGTCACGGGTCAAGAGCGGCCAGGTGTTGATGGCGGGGCTCTCGGGGCTGGAAGGGAGCCGGAGGGTGATGTGGGTGGGTTGGGCCGTGGGCGTATCCGGTAGCCCTGGCCCCGCCCATCCAGGTTCGGTGCCGGCCACACGCTGACCCTGCGCGTGCCCGCGGCGAGGTCCGAGTCTGCGGCAGCCTTCGTGGCAGCGGCGTTCCCAGGGGCCGAGCTGCGGGAGGCGCACGGCGGCCGCCTGCGCTTCCAGCTGCCACCGGGAGAGGCCTGCAGCCTGGCACGCGTCTTTGGAGAGCTGGCGACGCGCGGGGCGGAGCACGGCGTGGAGGACTTCTCAGTGAGCCAGACCACGCTGGAGGAGGTGCCCACAGCGCCGGGCGGGGGCTGGCGGCATGAGTGGGGCTGGGGGCCGGGCCGCAGGCTGACCTCCCCTGCTGTCTCCTTCGCTGCCTACCTGCTAGGTATTCCTGTACTTCTCTGAGGATCAGGGCAAGGACGACGACCAGCGGGAGGCCAGAGCGGGGGCAGACCCTGGGCCAGGCTCCCGGAGCGCCAAACTCGTCACCGGGTTCCCGGATGACCCCAGTATGCGGGAAACGGTGCTGTGAGCCTTCCGTGCGGATCTGGCCTGAGGCCCTGGAAGTGACCGGTGGGCAGAGTGCCGGGTGCTGACCGACTCCCAGGCTCCCAGAGGGGCCGCTGCCCTGCAGGAAATAAAGGCTCCTGTGAAAGCCTGTGTCTGTAGGTCTGTACCGAGCTGTGTCCGTAGGTCTGTACCAAGCTGTACGCTTGTCGAGATGGCTCTGTGCACGCGTCTGGGTCCAGCTTGAGTGTGTGCATGTGTGGCTCTGCAGACGCATGCAACTCGTGGCACACGGGTCAGAACCAGCTACAGTCCACTGGACCCCCGCTGTGAAGGCCGCTGGCGGGCCTCAGGGGGTGGGGGTCTCACATGTAAGTGTGGGTTTCTCAAGAGTCTGGACGTTGGTCCCAGGGCCTCAGTGTCATGTGAGTCTGGCGTC